GTCATTTCATATTTTTCTAAAAAAATGTGTCACAAATTATCTTGTCCGTGCGGTAGTAGTTATTAAGTTAAAACTATAATTACAATGAGGAAAATGCATGTTTTTAAATAATGGTTTTAAAAAATAGTTCATATAATTACAAATTGAACAAAAAAAAATCGTTGATATCGGTTAAGAAATGCCTCTAATATAAAATAATTAAATATTGTTAATTTAAATGGCCGAGCAAACGCTCTCTACCGCGCCTTGCCGCTGTGACGTCACCCGCCGTTCTTCTTGTTGAGTGGAGCCAGACGCGTATTTATTTTACACAGTTTGCTTTTAAACGCTGTTGAATCCGAGTCAAAATTTTAGTTATTTGGGTTAATTAATACATAATTAGTAATTAGTGATATTTATAAATAGTAATGGATGAGCGAAAACAGAAAAAAATGCTCCAAGGCCATGAGAAGAGATGAAAAGAAAAACGTTAAATTATCCTCTATTTTTACGATTTATTGTTGTGAAGATCACTTTGATGTAAATTCATATATTTATGTATATTGTCTTACATAGGTATATGAAATTTGAATGTACCGGGTTATTCATTATATTTTGACACCCACATACAGCCTTAACTGCAAGTTTTAGAAGAAAACATTAAATAAAAAAGTTGCATGGTTTTTCATATACTCTCTTTTAAAATTAATTCTAGATATGTTTCTTTAATTCTAGATAGGTGTCTCAAAAAAGGTGGTCCGGAAAATTGTATGTATTTTTCGCTTTTCAACTGTCAATATTTCGTAAACATTTGAAGATAGGTATAGGATATTATACATGAAATATATCTAGAATATCTAGAAATTTCCGAAGAATCCAAAAATATATAGGGTGTTTCGCTTAAAAAAGTAACTTAATTTTGGCGTTTGCTTATGGGACACCTTGTATAATATTTTCATTACTGATAAACAATTTATTTCCTATAATTTCGTAAAAAAACAATCTTTAAAAATAACAAGGGTAAGGGGGTGTCAATATATATAAAAAAAACTTTCTTTTTCACGCTATGCTCTGGAGTTATTTTTCCACGTACTAAACAAATATTTTTGTCTCTTTTCACTTCTACATAACCTACAGCATTATCTCCATACGTCTCCCTACCTGATCTGGAAAATAAGTTTATAACATTAATATTTGTAACTATATAAAAGTTCGTAACAGTAGGTACCTACTTATACTTAAATATGCCTCAGTACTACAAAGAATAAATGTTACATACCTCTCTGTTTTTTTCCTCGTAATTCGGCACCAATAAATTGGGAATTGTATTTATAAAAGCAGCCAACATAAAAGCATCGACTTTTGGCAAGTTATCTGATTGTGCTTTTACAAACCCGGAATCTGCCATTACTTAAAAAATTCTCAGAACACACAACACATACAAATAATAACTCACAAAAAAGCATAAAAAGCTCCTTCAATCAACGCTAAAAGCAACAAAAATGTCTTAGTACGCCACCTAAATACGTACATAAACGGAACACGTCTGGCTGCTGCTGGCCATCGCGCGTCGACGAGAACGGCGGGTGACGTCAGACCAATAGAATATCGTTTCAATTCGCGAGGCGTCGTTTGCGTTGTCCATAGTATTTTAATTGCCCGTTTTATAAAATTGTGGTACTGCTTTCAAAAAAAAGTTTTTTTTTTGCATTTACACATATTTATTCTAATAAATTGAACAGTTTCTGGCGAAAAATAAAATATATGCATCTTCCTCATTGTTGCTATTTAAATGTTAATTGACACTAATATGTCTAGCTTTTAATATATCTTTAATATAACACTAGTTCACCACAATACACCAACATGCGTTACTTTAAACATCAGACGTCCGTTGACCAGTTAGCCATCATTAAATAATATATCTTAGGTAGATTTTGTAATAATTACTATTACTGCCATTACTCGATGACGAGTATTTGATGCATATCAGAAGATGGTTACGCAAGATGTTTGTTTGTGTTGGAACACACTACGTATGTTCTTTCATGAGCTTTTCCGTGACTGAAAAGCCCGATGCGTGATATTACCTCTCTTCCGCTTCAAAAATCTCATTACTTTGTTGCCTCTTTACTCTTTGGTTGTCGTTAACTGAGTTTACAATTCTTCTCCATTGCGTTCTATTGGGCACTGCTTCCTCCCACTGATTCGGCATGCTTATCAACTTTAAGATTTCTTGGAAAATATTCTTGTATCTTTTGAGTTGTCCACCCGGTTTCCTCTTACCGTCTACAAGCTCACTGTAAAGAAGAGATTTCGGTCGGCGGTTTTCCTGGATCCTGCATACGTGGCTAGCCCATTTTTAATAATAAATATATCGGAAAACGGGTTTTTAGAATTAATAATTATCCGGATTTTACAACTAAATCTCTTCGAACCGACAATGAAAAAAAGGTGAAAAGGCATTCCCGGTCGGCTTCTTTTCTTTTTATCTTTTTGAGACCACGTGGCAGACGCCGCGCCGCGCGCAGACCGACTCATCATGCCGTCTCTCTATTTTTTGCCCGGGCTTTCCCTCTCTTTGTCCGCTCAACCATAAATATTAATAGAGCCGACTCGGGACCACGTTTGAAATCGATATTTCAATTGATAATATAAAAGATGTTACCACATCTAACGTTTCATCACGTCCTCGTGTAATCCCAAAATATAGAGAACTCATCAAAACCTATAGTCATGATCATAGTACATGTAGAATGTAGAGTGTTTAGGAGGGGAGTTAATCACCGCGACCTTATAGATCTATTGTGTGTTCCCCTTTCTTGAGTTATAACGAGTTATAACTCATCATACAGTATCAGGGCTTTAACAAAAGCCAGTATCTGAGACGGCTCTACAGAGGCCAGCTCTCCATCCTCGACATCAGATGTCCATGGCACGAATGGTCGTCGTCTCGGCGCACTGAGTGATAAGGTGTTCTGGTGTTTCCCCGTTTTCCCCACAAAATCTGCATTCGCCGTTGTTTCTCGTTTCAGCCTACTGAGGTGTTCGTTGAGGAGACAGTGTCCTGTTAGAAACCCCGTGACAATCCGAAGAATGTTTTTACTTAAATCAAGGAAAACCTTTGATTTTTCTCGGTCATAAGTTCTGAGGAACTTTTTCGAGTGTCTTAGACCGTTGGAGGACACCCATTCCAAGTTACGGATGGAGTCTTCCAGATTCTTCAGTTCCGCTTTCGGTTCCCGTTTGGAAAACAGAACGGTTCTGGTCCAGTTAGTGGAGTGTTCGCTCCTTTTCTAGCTAGATCATTTGCTTTTCCATTTGCCTTTTCATTCATGCTTTTTGCATCCCTTGGTAAGCAGGCACCCAGAGTAGAAGGACTTTATTTTCTTTGCCTAATTTGTTAAGCTTCTCTAGGCATTCTTTGACCAACTTCGAATTGATGGTTACTGAGTTAATCGCGTTAAGTGCTGCTTGACTATCGGATAGGATGGCAATTTCCTGTTTTCGATAGTTCCTATCTAAGATAAATTGTACGCATCTTTCGATAGCGCAAATTTCTGCCTGAAGGATACTGGGGTAGGTGCCCATTGGTTAGGAATATTTAGTTTTCGGCCCAAATACTCCTATCCCTGTCCCTGCTTTGGTTTTGAAAGCATCAGTATACCACGTGATGGTATGGTCTTTTATATGCTGAGTAAGCGTTTCTTTCTTCCCCAATCCTTTTTATTACTCAATACTACAGTGAGGTGTTTCTCAAAGTTGTAAATTCTTGGTATGTCATCCACTAGGAGTTGGAGAAGTGGAATTTTCTTTTCATAGTACATTCTTAACAGAATCATTTAAAAATTCATTCGAATAACAAATCATTGATTCGGTGAGAGGCATTTCACATTATTCCAAACCCAGTTTATACAGGGTGTTTCAAAAAACATGTGCCATCCCTTGTGGGGATCCCTCACGTAAAAATAAGACTTATTTTTCATATCAATATAGGTCCGATTCTGCTTTGTTTCGTAGCTACAGGGTGTTAAAGTCTTAATATTTTTTCCATTTATTATATTTTTTTAGTACTTTTAACGTTTTGAATGAAATTTTAAGGGTAAAAGTTACTATAAATGCGACATGTTTACCGGGGACATGCATATAGGTTATCACTGGAATATTTTTCTAAAAAAAGCATGTACGCCACTGACTTTTTTCTCTTGTTAGCGAAATAGTGTAAATAGTTTAATGCCGATTAAATGTTGTCTCTTGATATTTTGTCGATTTCGACAAGTACGTGTGTACTTTTCGTAACTTTTACTCTCAAAATTTACTAATTAAAAGTACTTGGAAGAAAATTATAATAAATCGAAAAATTATTAAGACTTTAACACCCTGTAGCTACGAAACAAAGCAGAATCGGAACTATGTTGATATGAAAAATAAATCTTATTTTTACGTGAGGAATCTTCCCACGAGAGATGGCATATGTTTTTTGAAACACCCTGTATACAGATGCCCAAATTTCCATTGTCAGTCCACAATATAACTAGAGGGCTGCTGTCGTAGTATAAGATTAATTTATATGAATTAAACCGGCAGAACAGTAGAAATTATTTTTTTTCAAAGTGATGGACAATCTTATAAATTATGAGATAAAATCTCATAAATTTAATTGAAAATCTCATAAAATTAAATCTTCTTGAACTGACATTGTCTTTAATTTCTAAAGTCTACACAATGTTTTGGTCAGCTGTATCACTGACCGTTATGGTGACACAAATAAATCAATCAATCGTGTGAAATTATTCGAATTCATGAAATCGACCAGTTGTTTGGAATTGTTCGAATCACCGTTATACGATCACACTTGATCTTGATAATGGTCAATGATATATCTTACCGAAACGTTGTGTTAAATTTCAAAATTTAAGCAAATGTCAGTCTATGAATATATTGATTTCATAATTCATAATTTGTCATTCTGACCGAGACGCGTAAATATATTTTTATTTCAGAGCAGTTTGTTGTTTCAGATTGATGCTAATCATGATGTAAGCTGCACGAAAATAATCAAAATTCCACCATGAATTTTAGCACGTGCACGAGCTGGTTCTGTTCCAAAGATGAAGAGGAAAAGAACATGTGCAACCACAGAGCGGATAACGAACATCAGTCGATCATAACCACCGAGCAAACTGCAAATACGGCCAATAATTCCGGTTCGTGTGATGACGTCGTACCGCCTTCGAAAAACTGTTTTCGATTGGTAGTTCTAGGTAAGACTTTTATTTACTATTTTTCTTGATTATTATATATTTTGGTGTCGTTTTCAAGGCTGTTTTATTAGTTTAGAATCTTTCAGCAGTTTTTGTCAATAAAAACATATAAAAACAGGACGGAGTTCGACTGTCGTATGACCCTTTCTCATTGATTATTTTTATTATTTACATTAGCATCGCTTATAGCAACGTCTGATAAACTTACTCCTAAATATCTAAACCTGTTGCATCCTGTGATTAAAACATCCATTGAGTCTAGCTCAATACTTTTATCACCTATGACGAGATATTTTATTTTTTTCATCTGATGATATGACTATTTGGTCATCCGCTAACATAAGAGTATATAGGGTGTTTTGAAAGAAAACGTCAGAATTTTTTCAAGCAATAAAGTAAAGTAAAGTAAAGATTTCAGTTAACGTCTCCTTTTTGCTGCCAGAGCTAATCTGGACGGGGCCTACTTTGTTTACGCGGTATCCGAACCGCGGTCTTCGGCCATATCATGTCAATGGCCTACCGACTTGGCAAGTGTCTAAATCGACTCTTACTCACGAGATATCCGATCTCATCCGGCCTCGAAGCGGCGCGGCGTGAATGAGCAGTGTGTGTCAATAGATTTTACACTTTTGCCTTTTTTTGGACAACAGCACGATACAGAGTTTCGAACCGGTCACCCGTCCATCCACTAGTATCGCCTTACGTCGCTTAACTTCGGTGTTATAATGGTCGATTTTTGTAACGCATCAGTCTTATATTTGTTACTGTAAATGTCCGAAATGCGGTAAAACCTAGGATAAGCGCGCTAAACCTAGGATTTACCAAAAACACTAACTACTCGTAATTAGGTTAGCCTGGTTATTTGGCTTGGTTTTTACTACCACTTGCTTATTCGTACTTTTACTAATGCGGTGTGGTAAATCCTAAGATTTACTGTTTGAGTCCGGTAAAAGTCCGAAATGGAAGCAAAATATATAGTTTTCTGGCTTTTACCACATGCTTTTGGTAAATCCTAGGTTTAGCGAGCTTATCCTAGGTTTTACCGCATTTCGGACTTTTAGAGTAACATATGTATATATTGCGGCTGGTCAGTGGCTTTTTACTCATAAAACAAATTTCCACCAAAGGCCACTAAGCAAATTATAATAGGGCAGCTATTCAAATTGTCTTGCTTCTGTTCCTTCCGAGACAAATCAGAGAAATATTCGAGTACATTCAGTATAAAAGATGTGTCGGAAATCTAGGTATTTTGATGTTCCTTAATGTCTGGACCAAGAGAATTTCCAAACTCCAGTTGGCAGATTTTTCCGATCGTTTCTTTACGTGTAGGTCTACTTGAAGACGCCTATACTGAAAGAACCTGTGAAAAGAAATTTTGTGAAAGCGAATTAAATTATTTATTTATTTTTAATTTATTGCTTTTTTGTCAAACTACACTTTTTCAAACATTTCCTTCAGATCCTTCAATTTAATAGCTGCTAGTAACGCCAATATGCGCACATAATGCACACACAATTTTTTAGTGATGATAATATACAGTATGTCCCCGGATTGTCTTTGCAAGAAGAACACGTTTTATTATTAACTTTTTGAGAAAAATGCATTCTTCATAAAAATCTTCGCTTGTTTTAAAATGGTTAATTATACTTTTCCAAATTTCCACAAAATTAATTTCTAAAATTTGTAATAATATTTTGTATCTACATCCAAAAGCACTGGAGGTAGGCAGTAAAGGTAAATAAATTTCATTAACTAAATCGAATGACTTTTTAGGATCACATAAACTTATCATGCAGCCATTGTTTCTTAAAGTCGGAAACATTTAAAGAAAACATGAAAAACAAGACAACAAACAATCGTGAATGTTTTGTAAGCTATAAAAATATAAATATTGATTAGATTTGTTTATTTATTATTGATCTGTTTTAATACTGGACCTGCAAATCTTCACTTGAGCTGTCTAACGAGTTTAACAGTTTATTAATAAAGTACTTTTCAATATTAAACTCCATTGAAAAGAAGAAGCAAACGTAAAAGCAGAGAATAAGTACATTAAAAATGCATAAAAGATAAATTTTATAATAGAGGTATTAAAATTTAGAAAACGTCTAAAACATTTGACGTTTCCAGTATTTTACCAAACCGTTCCGTATCAAACCGAAGTTTTTCAGGAACCGCTCTTTACCGTAGTTTACCAGTCTGGTTCGTCTGGTTTTGCAACGGAATACAGCCTAAATAAATTACTAAACTAACTTATAAGTATTAACGGGTTTACCCATTTTACAACAAGTGAAACCTTTTGTGAAGAATGTATCTTTCTCAAAAAGTTAATAATAAAAAGTGTTTCCCCTTGCCAACAAAAGACAATCCGGGGACATATTGTAGTAGAGAACTGGAATTAAAAAGCCCAAGCTTAATTAATAAATTAAACTGTCACATTACACGCCTCCATAAATCTTTAAACCTGAGTAAAGTCAAGTGTCTCGTTCAATATTCCGCGATCGTCTCAAAGCTTTAAACCTGTTAGATGGCGATATCAGTTTTCTAATCCAGATTGATTTGACATAATGTATGTAAGGCGTTGCGTTTCCAACACCCTTAAATAAATTTGAGGGTGACAAATTTAATACATAACGCTATGCGATAGGATAAATGTTACACTTGAGAGAAATTTTTTTTATTTATTTCTATTTTATCACTTGCTTTAAAAAAAATATAACTTGCTAAGGGAAGCAAATTATGTGGCACCATTATGGTGCAGCAAAAGAGAATTCCACTCCTCTAACTCCCAGTGGATGACACACCAAGAATTTTCAACTTTGAGAAGCACCTCACTGTAGTATTGAACAATAAAAAGGATTGGAAGAGATAAACGTTTGCTCAGCATATAAAAAGACCATACCATAACGTGGTATACTGATGCTTCCAAAACCAAAACAGCTAGGGACAGGGATAGGAGTATTTGGGCCGAAAAGTAAATAATCCGACCCAGTAGGCACTTACTCCAACATTCTTCAGGTAGAAATCTACGCTATCGAAAAGTGCGTACAATTTATCTTAGATAGGAACTATCGAAAACAGGAAATAGCCATCTCATCTGATGCAGCGATAAAAGCGATCAACTCAGTAGGCATCAATTTGAAATTGATCAAAGAAAGCCTAGAGAAGCTGCAACAAACACAAATTGGGCAAAGAAAATAAAGTCCTCCTGCTCTGGGTGCCCGCTTATCAAGCGATAGAAGGCAATGAGAAAGCAAACAATAGCTAGAAAAGGAGCGAACATTCCTAACTACTCCTAACTGGACCAGAACCGTTCTGTTTTACAAGCGGTAACCAACTTAAAGCGGAACTGAAGAACCTGGGAGACTCCATCCCTAACCTGGAATTGGAACTTTTAACGGTCTAAGACACTCGAAAAAGTTCCTCAGAACTTAAGACCGAGAAAAATCAAAGATTTTCCTTGATTTAAGTAAAATCTTTGGATTGTCACGGGGTTTTTAACATGACACTGTCTCCTCAACTAACACCTCAGTAGATTCAGGCTGAAAAACAACAGCGAATGCAGATTCTGTGAGGAAAATGGGGAAACACCAGAACACCTTATCCTGAGTGCGTCGAAATGGCAACGGTTCGTGCCATAAACTTTGGAACGGCTGATGTCGAAGATGAAGAGCTGGCCCAGATACTGGCTTTCGTCACGAAGTCCTGAGCCTGGATGATGAGTTATAAATCAAGAAAGGGGAACACAATAGATCTGTAATGTCGCGGTGATTAACCCCCCTCCTAAACATTCTACATTCTATACCGCTCTGTTTAGTTTATAGCTTCGTCAAAATTAAACTGTCGCATCCTATTGTGTCATTCTAACATTTTCTTCTTGAAAAAGCTCATGTTTTACTCTTGTTATGCGGTAGCGTTTTTGGTATGATAATACAAGATGGCATTATTCTGTCTATACACAAGCTTGGAAACAAAAGACACCAAATTTCTACAATTCCATGGCCAGCAAATTGACCAGACCTCAATCCCATTTTGAACGTATGGGGACTGATGTAGACTGACGTAGAATGTCGGAAGAGCCAAACCTAGTCACCCAAAGTCGTAAATCTTTTTTTAAAGGTCTGTCAATGCTGAATACACATGCCAAATTTTAAGAATTTCGGAAAAGCCGATTTTAAAATAAATTGAGAAAAACTGCATCTATTTTTAAATTAAAACTGAACAGGTAACACCGCAAAATCAGTCAATTGTCAACATACCTTAAGTTGTCAACTTATGACATCATTATCAAATGTAATTTGTTGTGCTGTCTACACTACTACGTTATAGTACATCCTACGCTTAGTGTCAACGAAATGTACATTTGTAATTTAAATCTGGTTCGAATGAGGCAAAAGCCTAACATTTAGAAAATACAATTTGACATTGACTAAATTATTAGATGACATTTTAACGTATGTTGGAACTTGCCTGGTTTTGCATTGTTAAAATTGTTTTAATTTGACATGTGAATTCAGTAAACGCAGACCTTTAAAAACCAACTTTTTTATTTCCAACTTCCCTAGAAATTTAACAGGGGAGCCAATATCTGGACAGTTCAAAATATGAATGCGATTTTCTGTTTCTCACGACGATGCACCACCCGGTATACATATGTAACTAAGAAGATGCAGGTAAATAAATTTCAATTTAAACTTAAAACTAGCCCATCGAAAACATGGAAACTTTTAAACAATATCTTTTCCACTTGGTGCATAAAACACTTGGCAAAAGTTAAATCGGACAAAACTATCCTCGAAACAACCAGAACCCCATTAAAAATAAAAATCGAAATAAAACAGTACAGAGAGAAAACTGCTTTTCTGCCCTTTTATAAATGACTATGTAAAAGTTGGCGAAAGCTGCAGGTAGAAGTTAAAAAGTTAAAAGTTTTAATAATGCCTACCAGGTTGTGTAGAAGGAAACGGGAAATTTTTAATTTCCGTATTTAAATTTTTTAA